CCCTTCTTAATCTGAATGCAACAGCACGCTGTATAACAATCAGATCAAGAGGGGGTGCACCGAACAACACCAGCATTGCATCCGTCGAAACAGTGCGACAAACAGGCAAACAGGCAAGCATCATGCAACGTTGCACCGAGAGGAGTTTTCGGCGACCAGAAACCGTCATCGCTGATTCCCACCACACAGCAGCCCCATAAGTGGCACAAGCCACGATATATGGTGCGAACAGCACGGCGTCCAAGGCCCCAATCACTCCTCAAAATGCGTCGCACTTTGCCAACAATTGCCTGCAGCCGCTCACCCACACGCACCAAATGTGGGGTGAAACACATTCTTTCTCCTATAGTCAACCCCAGGTATTTAACTTCCTTCACATACCTGATGTTGACCCCATTCACCTTGACAATCGGTGGACGAACCGGCGACAATCTGCCCTTAAGCAGCATTGTAACCGTTTTGTCCACCGATATGTCAACCCCCACATCTAAACCCCAGCTATTTACAATTTCTAAAAATTGTCCCCCCGACCGTTCTAACTCAGACCGCGATCGACCCTCAACGAGAAGAAGAAGGTCGTCCGCATACGCACAACATTTACAGAGGGGCTCGAGCTGTCCAAGCAGAGAGTCCATCATAAGGTTCCAAATATATGGACCGCAGATGGATCCCTGCGGGCAGCCACGAACCACTCCAATTTCAACACTTCCATTCATACTTACTAGAGAAGCTTTTCTCTCCGAAAAGTAACTCCGCCATTTCCGGACAGCCAAGCTCCTCCAGCCGCTGCAAAACTCTATCCCACCTTAAATAATCAAACGCTCCCTTGAAGTCAACAAATATGCCAAGGACATATTTGTTGACATTCTCCTTAACAACACTCTGAACATAAAACCAAGCATCTTCTGTACTGCGTCCTTCCCTGAACCCATACTGCCTATCCGACCATATACCCCGCGTTAGCTCCTGAAGCCGTTCCACCATAACTCTTTCCAATACTTTTCCAAGTACTGGAAGAAGACTGATGCCCCGATAAGAGCGAGGATCACTCCTGATCTTATCAGGAGACTTCAGGAGAGGTACAACCCTAGCAATTTTCCACTCGCGTGGAAAATAACCCTCCCACACGCACTTATCATAAATGGCCTCCAAGTATTCCGGAATGAACTTCCACAAGCTTTTACACATCTCTCCGTTCAAACCATCAAAACCTGGGGACCGTTTAGACCTGACCAGGCCAAAGGCATACCCCAACTCCCCATCATCTAATGGAGGGACAGGTACCTCCTGTGCTTGGGGTACCTGAACCTCCGCCCTGGGAAAGAACGCACCTAATAGAACCCCCGCACACTCTCTCCACGTAGATAACACAGTGTCACCTACGCAAAGAGAGGTGATATCATCTCTCTTACGACCCCTGCAGATCTTATAGATCTGACCCCAGGGGTCATCCCTATTTTCACTAACAAAATTTCTCCATTCATATTCTTTAACCCTAACTAACATATCTTTATATTCCCTAATTTCACAACAAAAATCATACCTAACCTGAGCTAACCTGTCTGAATTGGACCGTCGAGCGCGTTGAAACTTTCGCCTCAATCGCCTGACAGTCCTCCTCTTCAAGGTTAACTCACGCGTCCACCATTTTATTTTCCTAAGCTTAAAACTTTCACACTTCTTAAGTTCCCTATCATTAACAACCCACAATATCTCATAAAGACGAGCAATCTGCTCATCAACCCCCAAGCCCTCAAACTCACTAAGCGGTATTTCCAATACCGCTTCCCTAACACACCGTCCATATTGGTTCAAGTCAATACCAGAGGTACGCCATCGCCGCAACGGACTTACGAACTGTAAAGGGGGGGACTGAGAAGAAACCATAATTTGAATCAAATTATGATCACTCAATCCCCACCCTCCCTTAATTTCCCACCCAACACGAAACACTCTATTTGCTGCCTCGTTCATCAAAGTCACGTCAATGACACCCCTAGGCCCATCAAAAGTATACCACTCGCTCGGCTCGTTTAGAATGTGAAGGTTTTTACCCACCACCCATTCACTTAATACCACTCCACGACTGTGGCTTTGATATCCAGACGAATGCCGGGATACCTTACTAAACCACATCGAAGACGTAGCATTCGCGTCCAAGCCAAGTATAAGAGGACTACCACTCGCAAGTAGTAGTACCTTATCCATATAACTCAGATAAGGCTCTAAGGGCTCACCAAATTTACAATAGATACTAGCAACAAGTATTCTACCAAACCCCCCCTCTACAGAAACACATACACCCAGTTGTGAGGAATCCACAACTACACAATCATAGTTGGGATCACTCACAACAATTGCAGCATTAGCCCTAACGTCCAAAAAGACCCTAAAACCACCAGGAAGATCCCGAACCACCCCATTAGTGGCATAGGGCTCCTGGAGCAAGGCAATGCCGCACCCCCCCTCAGTCATATACCCCCCCCACTCGCACATTACGGCATACGATCCCTGACAATTTAACTGAATAATCCCCTCCCATTAGTGTCTGGCGAGGGCGCGCTCAACAATCCCACAATATATCGGGCAGACAGCCGACATCATAAAATGCCCAGCTGGTCTACCCTTGAATGCGCAGTTGCGGAATAGAGTGCATTGACACAGCTGGCAGCCTTGTAGCCTTCCTGACCGCACCTCCGGCAGACATCCGATTTGGCCCTACACACAGCCACTCTATGGTCGAAACTCATACACCGGAAACAGCCAGCCACAGGGCTATCCGGTCGCACCCGGAAGAAGAACCACTTGATGTAGCACCTACCAGCCTCCAAGAGGGCGGACATAATTTTGTCCGTACCTTCAAGGACGACATTGGTGCTACCATCAGGGGCCACCTTCCAAGGACGACTGACCATCCTCACATCTGACCTCAGGGACGCCGGGCTGAAATCCTGAAGGTTCAGCCGGAGTAACTCTTCCATGAACTCATCATGGGGGATCTCCGTGTGAACCCCCTGGATTACAACCCGAGGACCCAGCTTCCGGTTGACAGTCACGTCCAACCCCACCTCCCCGAATTTCGCGTTTTTCACCACTTTCTCCCTCTCTAAGACAGAGGGAGTGCGGATAACCGCCCACCACCCTTAATTGGCCTAACCTCATGGATCCTTACCCCCAGAGAAGGACCCACCTTCTTAACAACTTTTTTGACAACTTCCTCAGAGGAAGCTGCAGGCCCCTTACTCCTAACCACAACGGACCAGGTCTCAACAGGCCTCGACGCCACCGGTGCAATCGCCTCCAGTACAGGTGCTGGGGGCGGGGGCATCGGTGCCGATGGAGCCGGCATTGGCCTGCTCGGTGGCGAGGAGTGTCCCCCACAGCCTCCTCTAAGGGCGTCAACTTGACCGCGAAGATGGGCATTCTCGGTAATAACCGTCATTAGGAGTGCTTCATATTAAGAAGCAAGCTCCATCAGCCCCTTCACGGTTTCCAACTCAAACTTCTTGTCTCCAAAGACCAACCCGCTTAGCTCCCCAGTAATCCTCTTCACAGCAGCAACATGGCTTACCGCACTACCACCAACAGCAACAGCGCCCTTGGCAAATTCACGGTTGCCACCCTTATTATTCTTCTTCTTCACCATGTTGGAACTAACACCTATTTCCTTTCCACCCTCGTTAACACGCCCAACACCTCTTCCAGCCTTAACCTCACCACCTTTATCAACACTCATCTTAGCGTCACCCCCCTTCTTAACTGTGTCAGTAGTATCCCCTGTCTCACTACTCGAACTACTGCTTTCACTAGAGTCAGTGAAGCGCACAAAGCCCCCCGATTTCGCCAAAGGTGGTGACCTCAACCTAACCTTTCTGCGCAGCGGTGACCCATCAGTAGGTGACACTGCACTATCCTCACCGGACGACGCCTCTACAACCATTTTTGCAGGCACAGACCCATCGCTCTCAGCAAGGGACTTAACCTTCCTCCTCCGTGGGGGAGGCATCTTCAACCTAGATCCCCTACCAGGCAGGCTGATCCGCCGGTAAAAAACACTGGCGCAGAAGCCCCTGTTCCGGAAAGATCAAACAGTCGCTCACCAGGCACGTGCGATTGAACGCACTGAAGAAGCTAACTCGCGCGTAAACCCGCTCAATAGCAGTTACCACCCAAACAGTCGATTATCGCGTTATCGCAGGGACACAACTCACACCTCCAGCCAAAGGCGTGGAAGAGGTCACTCAATTAACCGCCGGACAGAACAAAGTCCCCGTAACGGTTGCGAATCGACCGATGTTGTATCAATCGCACCGTGGGCTAAAAGTCAACCACTATGACCTTAATTCACCCTGGAGTCAGCGCCTCCAATACTAGGACAACCACTAACACCCTAGAAGCAAAACTGGCGAAATCCCCTAGAAAACAGCAGCAACTGAAAACCAGACACTCAACACAGCACTCCTGAATAGGCAACCCAAGCCAAAAACACCACCACGGCACAGTCACTAAGACTACGGAAGGGCCCACCTACAAAAACTGCTGTACCCTAATTTACTAACCCTACACTCACCCACAAGCAGGCGTTGTAATTGCCTGCTACGAAATTTACAAAAAAAAAAAAAATTTTTTCCCAAAAACCACTTTGAACAAATCTACCTGCTACCTACAACCAAACAAATGCCCTAAGCAAGCGTTGAAAGTCTAATGAATGTCAAAGCCTGCTATCCCTAATAAAAAACTAATACCAGCTAGAGTGCTCGTATACACAATTACGTGAACACTGAAAACACCTGCTGTAACTAAAAACCTACTTGCAGTTAGCAGGCGTTGAAATCCTAATAAAAAGTCAAAGCCTACTAACGCGAATAAAAACTAACATAAGCTAGAGTGCTCGTACACACAATCATATGAACACTAAAAACACTTGTTTTAAATAAAAACCTACTCGATTAAATTCACAAAATTCACTAAAAATTCGTAAAATACATACATATACTTACATACACATATGCCAAAGCCTACTACGGCAGTTTTACGTATATTCCCGAAAACCCACTTTTCACTACAAACACATATACACGTATATATTCTCAAATATTATTTTCATGAACACTACAAAATTCACATATACACAAACTAACACGACTGAATTAAATTTCAAATTATGCACTAGCACGTCTGCTCGCTATGAATGCCTACGAATGAATGACGCATTGGTACAGTCGCATCCATCAAAAAACTGTTTTCACCAACTGAAATTGTCTGTCACCATAAAAAGAATTTTAACTGAAAATTCACTGGGCTGCGCTGATTAACTACTTGCGATGACGCGCTGGGTAGTCTTTGCACACTAGGGATGGTAACAGCGCGCGAAAAGTCGACTTTCGATTTTAGAGTCGACTTGGAATTTTATGACTCTTAAAGTCGATTAATCATTGCTAAAAGTGGACTCTCAAGTCGACTTTTTTTAAAATTTGAAATCATAATTGTATAACTCATGGTTAAGAGATATTTTACAAGTTTTATCAGACATATTTATTTATTTAATAGGCAATTTATTTATTTACACATTTAAATAACTCAAGTATTTTTCTTAAAATTTTTATAAAACATATCTTTCACACAAAAATTGCACGTACTATGGCACCGAAGATTAGTCAGTAATAATTAAATCAAGCATGAATTGAAACATTAATAAGTTTAAAATTTAAATTAAGTACGAATACAGTATTGACATGTAGAAATTGTTTGATCTATGAATACCAAATATCATCACTAAGCGAGTGTAAAAATACGAGTTGAATGTTGCGGTGATAAGCGGCTCCTTAATTGGTTTGCAATGAGCCCTGCATGAGAAAACAGTCTTTCGCAGGGTACAAATATTGCTACAACTGGTAAATACGTCCACCCTACATTATACAGATGAGGATACTCGTATTTTACTGATTCCCAGACAACGAGTGGATTAGGATTTCGTTTTCGTGGAATAGCCGGGCGATTCAAGTACTGACGCAACTATATTGCGATTCCACCTGCTTCGTCAGTATCTGCCTGAGAATAAGTGTAATTGACAGCTTCATCAAGAGATGACCAGATGTTATCATCTTTAACATTATTCGGGGAATCTTGACCTTGAATAGCTGGTGTAATTTCGTCACCGTCAGCAAATGCAGATGATCCCGTTGCAGACAATCTCCTTGTTAAATTTCTCTCAAACTTAACAAGTTCGCCTAAGCAAATAAAAATAAAATAAAGAATATTAATACATAAAGTTAATCAACTTTTATTTATAATTAGTGAATAAAATTACCAACGTTAGTAATTGCGCGAGCAGACTCGCGAATGCTATAGAAGGCACATTTTTTATATCGGAGGTCTACGAGATATATAATTTCACTGATTCTATATTCCCATATTTAGATCGATTTCTTGAGTTAATTTTTTTCGCAACTGGCGTCCAATCAAAGTATCAGGCTTAAAATTTTCAGTTTTCTGTAAAATATAAATTTAATTGTAAATAAAAAAGAGTCCGAATGAATGTTACGCTGCAACGATCAACAAAGTTTTATATAAACTTACCTTCCTAAGACAAGCAATCAATGGAATACATTTACTCAAAGTAACATTTTTTTCAGAGCGAACTTCTTGAGTAACTCGCCAAAGAGGACTCAAAATGTCGCGAACTTCTATTAAGGGTTCGATTTCATCTCCTGAAATCGTGTTAGGAGGTTTAGCCTTGGATGATTTGTCTATTTTGACCTGAAGGAGTACTTTGCCAACATGATCGGCAAGAAGAATAAAACGATTAATCATTTTGTAACAGGAATTCCACCTAGTTTTTACTTCTTGGATTCATCTAAGACGTTTTACTTCTGGTAAATCTTTTTGTAATAACAACAACTCAGTTGTCGCTCGTTCACTCTGTCTAAAAAAAGTAAAAAATTTTTTGACTTTGCTCAGCAGTTCCCGTAATTTTGTTTTTTCAGGAGTTTTTTCCAGTTTGTCAGTATCCAAGACTTCAGAATCGTCAATAATGTCCTCTTCATTTAGAGGTGGTTCTACTACCTTATTGCTCGATTCTGATGCTGGCGGGGTTATATTCATTTCAATAAGCTGCTGTCCAATAATATTTATCACATGACCAATACATGAAATGTGTTTTTCAATCCCAAATTCACTTTTTACAGCTCCCTTGATATTTGCCCCCCCATCAGAAACAAATGTAGATATTTTTTCATCACTGAGACCCCAGTCGTTACAAATTTGTCTCAAATTATCAATAGTTTTTCGTTCTTCCATATAATATGCACCAAATTTAATCGTTTTCATCTCGGTTCCTAAAAAACATAACAGATAAATCAATGATATGAAATTTTTTGGGTAAATCTATACAGAATGATTTTTTATGATGATAAATGACTAACCTTTCAGGTAATGAGCTGTCAAACCGAGATTTCAAACTTTTCATAGTATGATGGTGTGTCCAAATATCTAGTTAAACAAACTGAATCAGTCTGTTGTAGCTCTATTTTAATTTTATTCGATAGCTCATTATATTTATAACTCATCGCGGATGTCAATGTTTGTTTTTTCACAAACATTTTAAAACCTGCTCTTTCTGGAGTTGATAAGGGCATGTTATCAACAGCGATCATACGCAGAAGACCTGTTGTTATTTCATTGTGCTTCCAGCCGCCAGCTGATGAGTAATGAAAAAAAATATGAGTAAATAGATTATTTTTTCATCTAAACAAGAGAAGTTGAACTGATTAATACCCGCAAAAGAACTAGCATTATTAATACAGCGATCTAGAGGTCCTTGATGAGTGATTTTAAATGAAGAAGCTGGCTGAAGAGTTAAAGTGATTTTATTTTTCAGACAAGCTGGTGATTCGATAGCCATTAGAGCCTGAAGAAAAATAAACTCTATTTTTTTACAAAGAAAAAAAGTAACAGAAAGAAATACTTGATCCAGTATTATTTATGATATATTTGATATGAAATTGCCAATGTAAATAAATGTACTTAATTACCTTTTTAGGTTGAATATCTGAACTACTGTCATTGTTATTCTCTCTTTTTCTTGACTGATTATCTTTGAGTGAAGGAGCTACAATTTTATGTAGTGTCTGTAGGTGCTTCATCATCGTAGACGTACTCTTATTAAAACAAATTCTTTGTCACAGATATTACACTTTATTTTATTTCCAAAAATCAGTCTTAGAGCAATAGCTCCAGATAATACTAGGAGCCATACTTGTTTAATTATTTAAATATATAGATGTTTTAATTATGACTGCTTTTATTAAGCGTAAAAACTGATCACAAAAAATATGTTGCAATTATATTTCCGTCAGTTATGTTATACTATGCTTATTTAAAACGGTTACCAAGGATACCAGCGATGATGTTTATTTTTGTTTGAAAGAGGTTAGTAGAATCGTTTTAATCGACTTGAAGCATTCACAATCGATTCTAAAAAGTCGATTATTTTAAGTTAAAGATCGATTCTTGACCAAAGTCAGAGGCGACTTTCACGCCCCCTCACCACGGTATATACTTCACCAACTCGTTCTGTTTTATTTAATTTTTTTTCACTTTAATTTACGACTTTACGCAAATCCCGGACGAGCCCCATTTTGCAGGCCTTATTATGCGCAAATGAAACACTTGTTATTTTTTTACACGTTTATTTCTTATATTTCAATCCGAGCTGTTCAATGGTCAAAAGTCTTCTGAACTTACAAGCTAAAAGCTATATTCACCGTTACAATTTTTTAGGGCGCTATGATGGATGCTTCGTCCTTCGACAATTGTGCGTCTTTGCGGCATTTCGCAAATCGTGGAAGGCATACCAGGCGTTTCTCTTGGCACACAACCCGTCAATGAGAATGTATCTGTTGCAATTGCAGTAATCCATACATAGATTTGCCTTTCTCATCGCTAGAGCAACAGGCGGAAAATTTACCTTCTGATGCATCTAACAGGCAAAAAGATGTCGACGATATACCCTCCACGTCCAAGGCTACGGGAAAGAAATGCTAATGTGTCTAAGGCAAAAATTAGAGAGTACACCAGATCGTTTAAAAGATTTTTAGATGAGGAAACCAACAAAACTGGGGATATATTAGGTCAAGTAAAAAGTTCGTTCGGTTTTTATCTAAGAGATGGCGTTATTGTCCATAGTACTAGTGTTACGTCATGTCATACTATACGGCGCTGAAAACGTGTTTATTCGCGCTAAAGTTTGTCTTTGACAGTTTTCGATTGATTTCTCAGTTCGTGTGAACGCTCTTCAAAGATGGACACAACAAGAGAAAATTCGCTATATTTTACAATTTTCTTCGATCTAAGCGAAAAGCAGCCAAAGCGGCTGAAAACATTAATTTAGTTTATGGCCCGATACTGTAAACGAACGTGTAGCACAAAAGTGATTTGCTAGGTTCCGTTCCGGTAATTTCGATGTCAAAGATGCACCACGCGTCGGAGGCCTGTCTCGAAAATTGCGATAAAATCATGGAAATAGTGGAAACAGACCGTCACGTAAGCACTTATTTAATTGCTGAGGAACTAAAGATAAGCCAGAAAACCGTTTGGAACCATTTGCATAACCTTGAATTCAAAAGGAGCTCGATGTTTGGGTGTCACACGAACTAACGAAAAAACATGATGGACCGAATTTCCATCTGCAAATCGCTGTAGAATCGCAACAAAATCGGCCCGTTTCTGTAGCGGGTGGGTCACTTATGACAAATCGAGCGCAAACGTCTGGTCAAAGCTCGGGAAGCGGCCCAGATAGTGGCACAAGCCTGATTGCGGCCAGGAAGGTTTGGGTTTATGCGAATCATCTACTGCGAGCTGCTCCCTTGGCCAAACGCTCATTCGGCCCTCTACTGCTAAAACTGGACCGCTTGAAGGCAGCACTCATCCAGAAGAGGCCATCTTGATCAACAGAGGCCGAATTGTGTTCTATCAGGACAATGGCCAGGCCACACACGTCTTTGTGACTCACCAGAAGCTCCTGGAGCTCGGATGGGAGGTTCTCAATGCCACCATGGCGAACCGCTTAATGGTGAGAAGTTGCCTCAAGAGAGGCCTGAAATTGGCTCTCCGAGTTTTTGGCAATAGGACCAATCTTCTACGAGAGGGTATAATGAAGTTGGCATCTCGTTGGCAACAAGTTTACGAACAAACGGCGCATATTTGACTTAAATCGGATAAATGTACACAAAGTTATCATCTTTGAAAATCAATAAAAACCGAACGAACTTTTACTTTACCTAATATATAAAAATTTGATAAATTAATAGAACTGCGGAACTGAGATTAAAAAGAGCAATAAATCTAGAATTCTAAGTTCGAA